GCTGCGAGGCATGCTTCAAAAGGAGCTAAGGGAATTCTTATTTCTCATTTCTTGCAGTGTTTTAACACCAGCAACGTAATAAAGAGAACCACTGAGATCTGAAGTCTATAAACTCGAATCAGTTTTCCGCAGATTGCTTTAAAGGTATTAATATTGTGGTCAGAGCTATGCGTTTCATTCATAAGCACTGGTTTCCTCAACATTGGCTCAGCTCTTCATGATGTCAAGCACCGTCATCCTTACCACCCACCGTGCCAAATGGCAACACAACCATTGGCTGAGCTGTGCGTACCATAATGGCACTCATGGGTTCGGTGGAGCACCTAGCAATGTGCATGTTTCAGGGGGAAGTCCATTTTCATGGTAGATATTTGCAGTTACCAGAACTTCATACCTGGCCAGAAAGGCTACTGCACAGCACTAGTTATCTTCCCAGCCACCCAACTACTACATGCCTATGGATAGAAAAAGTAAATTCCATTCTGCAGTTGTAAAGCTTAATATACACTATATAGCCAAAAGTATTGGGCCTTTACAAGCACAGGAAATTTAATGGCATTTCAGTCTTAGTCTGTAGGGTTCAGTATTGGGTTGGCTCTGCCATTTGCCGCTATAACAGCTTCTGGGAAGGCGTCCACAAGGTTTAGGAGTGTGTCTATGGGAATGTTGGACCATTTGTGAGGTCAGGTACTGATGTTGGAGGAGAAGGCCGGGCTCGCAGTCTCCACTCTAATTCATCCCAAAGGTGTTCTATGGGGTTGAGGTCAGGACTCTGTGCAGGCCAGTCAAGTTCCTCCACCCCAAACTCCCCCGTCCATGTCTTTATGGACCTTGCTTTGTGCACTGGTGCGCAGTCATGTTGGAACATGAAGGGGCCATCCCCAAACTGTTCCCACGAAGTTGGGAGCATGAAATTGTCCAAAATGTCTTGGTATGCCGATGCCTTAAGAGTTCCCTTCACTGGAACTAAGGGGTGTCCCAATACTTTTGGCAAGTGTATGTACAAATAGGTAGCCCTCAAAAGGTATGAAACGATCTGGTGTGGATGGCTGAACACCCCTACCCATGCATCCACCACTCCAGTCATATACAGACTCTTTGGAGATTGTGGTTGTTAGGATAGATACCGGATATGCATCTCCAGTCATTTATTATGTATTCTACATCTTCTATATGGTCAACCAAAAACTAAAAGGACAAATATTAATAAATTAAAATACATCTTTTATTGCTTGTATATAATTGCACTGTCATTGTATATATTTATATTTATATAT